CCCACATCTTTCCCCCACTCTGCTCCCCCGCCACCAACAGTAAAACCCTACGCCACCGACCACCACCGGTGCAATGTCGTGGAAGTTTGTCCTCGGGAAGCATGGCCATGAGGCCGGCTCCTCCTTGGGGCAGCGTCATGTTGCACCATTCACCTTGATGCCACCGGGAGCTTCGCCGCCGTGGCAGGACCGCATGGTACGTCCATGTCGAGACGTGCCAAAGGTACTAGTAGGTGGCCATCCCAGTGCCGTGGACCGATGTGCACCTGCGGAACGGCTGGGACTTGAACCTGAAAAGGGTTCCAATACCAACTGTTCCGGTTTCCGTTCGCGCACGGGCGACAGAGATCCGCCACCGTCGAGACCTAATTCAAGACAACCTCCTCGATGACCAGGCTTTCGTCTAGGAGTCCACCTACTCAGACATATGGTTCTACGACGAGAATGGCCGACGCCTCTACTCGTGCTTCGCGCGTGCGCGTGATCCTGTGTCCGAGTCGTCGCGGCATCCCATGGTGAAGGAGGAGGAGCTCGAGGATGACGCGCTCAAGCAAGCACTCGAGGTCTTCGTGCTGGAGGAGCTCGCACTCTGGCCTGACCTTCCTTGGTGCTCCACATATCGACAATGGAAGCCATAGTGCGTGCCCTTGTCCCCGCGCTGGAGCCGGGGCCATGGCCACTATTATGGCAAATGTGGACGTGGACTTCCACGTTTCAAGCGATGCCAGAGCTGAAAGAGGAACCCGAGGACGAGTAGCTTGAGGCACCATCTACGCCACCGCACAAGCTAGCGGTAGGGCCACCACAACCACCAACACTAGCGCGACCATGGTCGCCTCCAACCTTCACTAACATCGTCGATGATGAGGATGAGTACTCGGTTCCAGCGCCACCGCGCGCATGTGCTCTGGCGTTTACCCTAGTAGATCTAGGGTTTATGTAATTTCAAGTTTTTATATTTTCATTAATGGAATGGAATTTTGGCAATATATATAATAGAAAAATGCGGTGAGCGTGTTGGTTGCGCTGGTGGTCTGCCTCGCCACTCAAATGGACAAAAAGCGGACACATTTTGTGTCCGTTTGGGTCAGTCCGTTGGAGTTGCCCTTACTCGCGCGATTTGGATGCATCCCCTATTAAGCGAGCCCAAAACGTGTATCCAATTAGCTTTTCTTCAAACGCGGTGATTCTATGTGGACTTTCTTCTTTGTTTATATTATAATGGATCACATGATCATGACAACCAAAAAGAGGCCAAGTACTTACAAAAAATGGGCCGGGGCACCAGAAGATGGTGGAAGGGGGAGGTTCACCCTAAGCCTTGGATCTTACCACATCATCATAGGTTCTCGCGGTGACATAGTTCCGGTTTGTGATGGAAGTGTCACTTCGAAGTTATGTATTGACCTTTCCCTCACCACATCACCATAGGTCCTTGGAAGGTGTAGTAAAAAATCGAGAGTGTTTTGCAGATGCCTTCGCGAAGGCTGTGTGAAAATAGGACCTTGCATCATGGCAGATTGATGTGTAAGAGAGACCTCTTAACCTTTCCTAGAAGTCTACCTTAGGTGGTGTTGCATATGAAAGGGGTGGCTACATTGGAGGTCCCGCGTCTGCATCTTGAGTTGTGGGATGGCATGCATGTCGTTAGGCTCTGGGTGCTAGGTATAGAGCCATGTTGGTCGTTTGGGTGTTGACGTGTATCAGGTGTTAGTTTGCTATAATGTGGAAGTTGCTGTTTTCTGGTTTTGGTGGCCTTATTAGTTTTTGACATGCATGGCATGAGCTATGTCAATTCCATTAAGAGAAGAAAACACAAATATATAAACTTGGCACGCTTTATAAGGGAAACTAGGCTGAAAACCACAACAATGGCAAAGAAAAAAAACACCAATTACAATCCAAGCAGACCACCACCACCTAACACGCCCTCTTTCCGGAGATATGAAATGCAAGTCTTCGAAAACGCTTTCAAGAAAGAAAACGACGCCCGAGAACGTCACTCTCATCGGCATCGACCTCCGTCAACCACAAAGCTTTTGCCCAGACCGACGCACTACGAACCCTGGGAATGGTTCGGCCTAGCAAACAACCTCCAACATCACTTCCACCCCAACCGGCCACGGCCCAGTGTGAGGAAGTACTCTTCGACAATGCCCAGGAGCGCCAACATTTTTGGCAACGACCATCGTCGACAAACAAGGCTTTAGCCCAGAGCCTTATGCCTCACCACCTCTGACCTAGGGTAGGGGCCAGGGCACCTAGAAACCTTGTGAGACCAAGCCGCGACTCCGTTCGCATTAAACAGCGGTGAACCATACCAAGAGGAATAGAAGGATGCAACGACCCCCACAGCTCCATGGTGGACTTTCTCCAACGACGTTGACACCGCCACCACCATTGCAACAATGGCTCCGACAAGCCTAAACGGCGCAGGCGCACCACACACCACTATGCCAACCTATGAACTGTAACACGCAGAAGCGCGGTCGCCGGCTTGTCAGTTTTGGTGGCCTTATGCTGCCATAGTTTGAGTTGTTTTACCTGGTGTTTTCGTTTTTGTACCTGGACATTACTAAGTGAACCTGGGACTTGTATGGTGGTTTCGTTTTTCAACGAAAAATGAAACCTGAGGCGGAGTTCGTGTTGATCGGGTTTAAGTGTGAAAAAAGGAAAAGAGTTATGTTGAAGCAACAACACAAACATGTCCAAAATAAAAAAAAAGTGATACATGACTTCTAGCGAAAGAAAAAGTGATACACGATTTCCTATGACTTTCGTGTTTCCATGATATTCTACCCTATGAACCAAAGAAGGCCCAAGTGTGAAAAGAAAAAGGTATGTTAAAGCAACAACACAAACATGTCCAAAAGCGAAAGAAAAAGCGATACGCGATTCCTCGTGCGTGTGTTCGTAATTTTGGTGTGATCGATCCTCAGGGGTAACCCAATAGTTGTTGCATTGCATAATTTTGCCTTTGCAATATCTTGGGTGTGTGCCTGCTTTATATGGGTGATAGATAGTGTGGCATCGTGCTGCCATCTTTCAAGCTTTGGTTGTCACGTGACGTGGTCAAGGGAAGTTACGCTCTGGGTTCCGGCCACACGTAGATCCACAGTTCACACCTCACAGCTACCAGGGCTTTTCAATTTTCCTGGAACAGGAGCCTGCTGGGGGCCATCCTACCGGAGGCCTTGCTACCCCCGATTGGGGAAACGAATTATTCTGCTCGGTTGCCTGATGGCTACTGGCCTACTAGCTACACTACACTAGTACTCCTTGGTTCATTCTACCTTTGGCCAAAGAAAGAGCTCATCTCTCCCCAGCACACACACGCTTCTCCGTCTCCAAAAACCCTCTCTGCACGGGCACGCCATGGACAATCCTCCAGCCGGCAACGCGGCCAATCCTCTGGCAGCGGCGGCGGTGGCCAATCCTCCTCCGGCGGCGGCGGCGGCAGCACCAGCAGCAGCAAACAACGTGCTCGATCATCTGGCGGCGGCGGAGGCAGCAGCAGCAAACAACGTGGCCAATTTTCTGGCGCAGCAAGCAGCAGCGGCTGCAGCGGCGGCGGCAGCGGCGGTAATGTGATTCACAAGATCATTTCTGCTGCTTCT